CCCGCAGACGTCCACGCTTATTAGGATACGAGTCCTCCACTTCAAGATGTCCAACCAAGATAAGTTTTATTTATTTATTTTTTTTTTTTTGTGTGTGTGTTTGAACTTTAAGTAAGTTAAAAAACAACGTCGAATCTTAAATTAATTCTCAGGCCTTCAATTGTTTCCCTTTCCCCTTTTAAATTACCAAGACAAACCTTAAAGTTTTTATATGAATTTAAATGGAAAAAAAAAAGTAAATGACAAATTGAAGAATTCTCCTTAGACTCTCTGATGAGGATAAGATTCTATTTTTGTGATGAAATTGAATAAACTGATATTTAATCTGGAAACCTATTACAGTATGTTTTCTTTATATATTTAATATGTTTTTCCTATATATCTTGTATATGTTTTCTTATGTTACGATCCTCTCACGGCGCGGTCCCGGGATGCATTTTTCACAACGCAAATGCTTAACCGTTTTAACTATACGATCACTAAAACGTTTGGTAATTAGCAAATTCTTAAGAGTTTAGTTTCCTCCCTAAGAGGAAGTAGAAACCTCTCACGCAAGTAAGTTCTTATTTAACAATGGTGCCGTGAAGTAAGCTTCATAACATTAATTCCCGGCGTGAAGTTTAAGCTCATAACATTACTAGCTGTAACAAATTAGTTATCCGAAACCCTATTAACTGTCAGTTCGCTTAGAAATAGATGAATTGATATCCGCTTTGCTTATGCGCGTGATCATCACGGTTCCTATGGAAATGAAAGAGGTTATTTCTTAGCTAAAGATACCTTAAATTTACCCATTGATATTAAAATTAGCATTCCAAAGAACTATTGGAAGTCCTTTTATTATAAGAAGCTTTTATCTAAGTGGAATGAGGATCTAAGTGGAATATCTAAGTATCTAAGTGGAAATATTTTATCTTGTAATGCTGAGGTCACCAAAAAATTCTCTTCTTCTATTCACCATAGATTGCATTCCGAGTATTTCCTCTCTATAAATTTTAAAGATTGTCAGTTTTTATCTGGTCACGGTAAATTTGCAAGTTACCTGTTTCGTTTTAATCTAAGATCAAACACTTTAACTAATTAATTAACACTAAATTCACTTTAACTAATACTTAGTTAAAGTGAATTTCAAAGAGAGTACATCAGGATGTGGAACATTTGATTTTTTGATGCCCTACATTTGATGGCCCTAGATTATGTTTGCAGAACGATTTGAAAATGTTCGGAATGACTTGATTTTCGTGAAGTCCAGACTGCTGTTCTCTGCTTTTATTTGTTTTATTTATGCATGTAACTTTTAATCTTTTATTTAACTTACCTCTGTAAGCTCGGGTTGTACATATGTGGTGCAAGGGGAGTCTGTATGTTTTCAAATAAAAAAAAGTGATTTAGGTGACAAATTTCTTTTCATAGGCGACACCGCACCATGCCGTTGATCATCTGCTATTCAGGATTGTCTACACAGCGAAAATATTCAATGCCTCATATGGCCAGCACGTTCTCTATATCTAACCCTATTGAAAAATGTTTGGTTGCTATGGGGAAATTCCTTACTAGCCGAAAATATTCCCCAACGCACAAGAACACCCTTATTTGCGCACTGATGGAGGAATGGGATGACTTAACCTTAATAGCTGCTCGACAATATTGTGCAAAGTATGACACGATGTGTGTGAACTTCTGGAGAATTCGTACAATATTGTAAGTGATAGAAGGATTAAATATGATGATCACAAGATAATTAACGTTATTTTTAATTGCGGAATGTCTTATTTGATAGCAAGATAAATATTGTTTTAAAACTTTATTAATGACCAATGGAAGAAAATCCTTTCTCAGTGCCAAATAATTTCAAATAATTGAGTTAGTTAGAAAGCAAAGTTTCTGGAGAACAAATTTTGAGAATGCAATATATATATAAGATTTAGCCATTTTTCGCTTAATTGAATGCACTATTTAACAGGGGAAATAAGCAAACAGAAATAAGTTTACAGTGAACAGTAGTGGTGAAATAAAATTCAGCGGCGCTATTAGAATATCAAAGATTGTTAGATTAAATTTCAAAAGTTCATAAGATATTATCTCCTTCTTTCTGCATGCCTTCGTGGTGTAATTGGAAGCATACTCGATATGTATTTAAGAGTTTCCAGGGTTCGAGTCCAGTCGAGGTCATTGCAGATTTTTCACGTCTCTTGCTTCAGAATAACCTAAAAACTCTACAAGTTAACTGGATAGCCCGATCAGTCGAATTCATAAACGATGGAATTTAGGCTTTATTTCTATCAAAAATCGCGAATGTGTCAGTTCCGTGCGAAACTGGAGCCGAAATGATAGTTTTCCAAATAATTTGACTAGTGCATGTAAATAATAGTGCATGTAAATGTCAGTAAGTACTGGACTGAGGGGATTAATCAATTTGGCGATAATGAATATTTTAGGAATCAAAGTGAGTTAGACTCAAAGAAACTTCAGTAAAAAAAACTTTCCTCAATTTCAGTATGCGTAAAACGGAATACTTGAAATCTGGTGTCAAAACATTTTACTCGTTTCCCTTCACTTGAACTTTAATCGATGATTTCAAAGAAAATTTTGCAGCCTGAATGTTGTTCAAAGTAAATCGGAAAATCTAGAAACTAAATACTTAGTTAAAGTGTATGATGCTGTTTCTAAGTTATAAACTAGAAGATGAAAAGGAATTCCCCTTTTGCGAACTCTGAAGAAAAGCATAAGATATAACATGGTTAACAGCAGTAGGAACGAAATTTTTTTAACTGAGTTTGGAGTATGAATGAGGAGACTCATACAACATGATGCTGAATTAAGGTCCAGTCAGCAGTGTCCAGCAGCCTTAAAATTTCGGTCACCCAAGGACATATAGTAAAGATGAGTTAAGTATGTTTGATAAGAAAGAGCTGGCGATTCTTCATTGGCACATGAATATAATAGAATATTAGAGGCCTTTTTAGTAATACAAATTTGGATTTCAAAGAGGGCCTTATCTGTACGATTTCATTTTTTAAGTTACACAGCGGATAATTTACAAAAGCACCTAAGAACGCAGCACGTTCTCGCAGTTTATCGAACTGCCAGTGTTCAGGGGCCTTAACAACTCAGTCACCGGAGGGCTTGCAGTACAGATGTGCTTATTGTGTTTAACGGAAAAACGTCCGGACGGCTCATTTCAATGACACATGAATGAAAATTAAAATTAGGCACCCTTCATATAAAATACATACCCCTTCATATAAAAGGCTTCACATAAAAGACATAGCTCATTTTAAAAAACTTTGCTCTTTTCATCTCTATTTTATTTGAGGGCACTAGAATCGATGATTTTTCATTATTATTTACTTTAGTCCCATTTTGGTACCAACTGACTATTTAGTCGTAACAATATTTTTCTTTTGACCCTGAAGTCAAAATGTTTGTACGCAAATTACTCAGAAAAAGAATAAACTTTCTTTATAGATAAAATGAAAACTGGAAAAATTTTACCTGGAGAAAAGTTCAGAAGTAAATCGTACTATCTATATCGGAAAAAAATCTGCTGTATTTAAAAGAAAAGTTCCCTCACGCTTTTTTCTTTCGTAGCAAATATGTTTTACATCTCTATTCAATCCCTTTATTTGATTTTATATTGAATACAATCCTTTATATTTAAAAATTCGAGTTATATTTTTATCTTTTTTTGATGCTATCTGAATCCTATCGTTCTTGTCTAGGACAATATTAATTTTAATTAAGATGGATTACTAAATGTCAGTATAATAGCATTTTTTATTCTGTTTTGAAAAATACTTAAAACTTAAAATTCTACTGAAAGTGTTTTGTTAATAACCTACTACTTTCTATAGTTAAACGCTCACTTTTTGTTTTCAGATACTTGGCGAATACGCATAAATGTGATTAAAGGAATTTTACGTTGCAAGCAATTACATTCCATAAAAATAAATATCTAAAATTTTTCAGAAAGGCTGTCGTGAAAGGAAGATAAGTAATCTCAGAATTATTTACTGTTGAACATTTAAATATAAGTGAAAGATTATGTTGACTCACAAAAGAAACTTATAAATTCCAACAAAACAACTGTCCTACAACGTGTTAGAAAATTTTAATTCCTGCTGAAGGACATGTTCGAAAAAAGTGAAATCGAAATGGGTCCTTCTTTTTCAGAAAGATATAGTTATACAAATAGGAAAAATAAATAAGTAAATAATAATGAAAAATCAACGATTCTAGTGCCCTCAAATAAAATAGAGATGAAAAGAGCAAAAGCAAGCATTTTCTAAAATGAGCTATGCCTTTTATATACGAGAGACCGGTGAACTGGAATTAAAGTCCTAAAATGAAGTTCATTATTTCAGTTAACATGGATGTCAAGAAACCTGATTCAACAACTAAAGAAAACCTTTTAGATAATTTTAGTTGAACTAAAGATGGTTAAAAGACTAATAATTGATAAATACAGCAAATTAGTTTTTGTTCCTTTTCTAATAAAAAATCCATTTAAAGATTCTAAAAATGTTGCATTAATGAATGCGAAATTTTTAGAAACTCATGTGTGGTTCATGCATGCAAAACACAGCCCCAAAGGTTCATAAATTCTCAAAGTATGTGAATGAAAATAAGGACTCTACATATTCAGCGACGAATGGGGAAACAGCGACGAATTCAGCCTGGGGGAAATAGCTTGCAAACTATACTTTTTAAGAAGCCGAGTAAGTTTGTAACTATTAAAAATGTAAAACTGTCAAACAGTTTTAAAGAATTGTTTGAGTTTTAAATAGTTATTTTGTTATTATATGCATTACTGGCAAATAAACACAATTTAATTATTAATTATAAAATTCTAAGAAAAATGTATTAAAATACCACTGGAATTTTTAAACCTAATATGCAGCTTGCATTTGTTTGTAAAGTTATCTTTATGTCATCAGTTGCATATTTATGATATTAGAAATTTTAAAAATTCATAAATGAAAATTCCCAGTATTACTTACCTGGAGGAATAACAACTCTGCTTGTTTCCGGGGATCCAATATGTTTCAGGACTTGACGGCAGGACACGGAAGCTGCTTGTCCTGCTGGAATGGGTGGCCAGCATAGCATGGAATCCCAAACAGGCTTGCAGTGCACTCCTTCTGCGACAGTAAAATAAATGTTCTTTAGGGATGCACAATATTTAAATGATTCAAAATAAACTTATATATACTTGAATAGGAATAAACTTAAAGAAGTTGGAAATAATAGATTAGTTTGAAATGCGTTTAAATCTTTACCACGAATAAATATCAGATGTAGTTGTGAATACTAATACAGACTTTGGATCTACAAATAAGACTGAGAGTAGTATGAAATAAATAAGCATTGCATTAAAATACCTGTCTTGATTTATTCGAATTATTCGTATTAACACAATCAGAAAGTGAATAGAACATTTCTTTCTAAATAGTTATATTACGTACTTAAAATCTTGGTCGCAAATTTCGGGTGATGGGCACATCTTAAAAATAGCGGATTTTTAAATTAAGGAATGCTTTGTTTTGAGAAAATAAGGAAGCGTTACAAAGATCTGAATTCGATAAATAAGCAGCGGTAGCTAAATTTCAAATGTGTCTCTAAACGTACGCTGATCGTAACCTGGTAATGGTAAATACTCTCCTCGACATAGAAAATGCAACACCAAGAAGATTCAGCCGTATAAATATGCAAATTTTAGGGAATACGTAGTGGAACAAGTCATGCAGACAATGTAAGATTCAAATAGGTCACGTGATTATAGCGTAAGTTAAAAGAGAAGGAAATAGCGACAATATTCCGTGCTCTCTGTTGCTTAGGGAATCCAGAATTCCGAGAAGTTCGACTTTCCGGAAGACATATGTAAATCAAGACAGATGCCTGGAGGACGACACCTAAGCAGTTCCAGCAAACGGACGATTTTACGAAGGGTGAAATTATAGGCCTACGTACGGTCTTACCGTCGTATCGCTGTTGAAACGGACGTATATGTATCCACTGTGTATAGAATTCTCTAGATGGATCAATGAAGGAAATGCAAATAGTCGCGAAATACTAGGTCCATCTAGACGTACTACAGAACGCACAGATCGAAGCGTACGATTGGATTATTGTATTATTTAATTATGGCAAAGCACACTAGGACTATCTGCCTAAAGGGAGAAATGCCTTTGTGAAGGACTTTCTAAGGGAAACTGGCTCGTATACACGTTACACATGGAGAAAACTACGAAAACGTTCGCGGGATTCGAACCTCGAAGCGTACGAAGTGAAGCGGTAATAGCAGCATAATCCACTACTATGGACATTCCGCGGAATGGGTGTAAGGAGATGCGGATGGTTGAATATCTGGGGGAATAGCTTTTCGACGTTTGACTGAAAGAGGCTTGAACACAAAGCGCCTTTTGCGAAGACTACCATCAACGCCAAACAATCGAAGCGAAAGACTGCGATGGTTCCGTTAATAAGCCACGTGACATCTAAATATTAGCGACAAGTCTCCGTTTTTTTTTTTTTTTTTTTTTTTTTTTTTTTTTTTTTGTCTAATGATAGTCATCGAGTACGTGTCTGGAGCCGTTGGGGAGATAGAGCCAATCCGACTTCTATTTTTCACATTGCACCGCTCGTCAGCGTGGTATAATGGTTCCGGGTGCCATCAGTCCTGATAACAGGTCACTTTTATTACGCATCAGAGGCAAACTGATGGTACGACGATACACAAATGAGATACTGTAGCCAGTCGTGCTATTTATTTTCAGCGGTTGCTACACTGTATTTTCCAGCAGGACAACGCGGCGCCGCGCACGGTATTTATTAGCCGACAAGCATGTCCCATAATTCTTTGGCTTCCGACGTCCACTGATCTTTCATGGATTGAGCATATCTGGGAGGTGACTGATCGTTGTTTGTTTGCTCTGCCCCTGCAGTTATAACAGGACGAACTTTTGGCGAAGGTTTCAGAGCATATAGACTTCCTTTCCTCAGAACACTGTCCGCACACTTATTGAATCTTTATCTCGTAGGGTTGCAACTTGTATCGCCATGAAAGGTGATCGTAAATCTTACTTATTTCCTGTATATTTCAGCACTGTATAAATTTATCTTTCTGTAAATAACAACATTTATTTACATATGCATGTTCTGTGTATCAATTCACATCATATTCTTCCTTTCATGGTGTTGCATATTCTATGCTAGGAAGTATAGTAGTGGAAGAAGAAATCAGTTATAATTCGTGATTTTGACTGAAGCTCTGTGTCAGAGATGTTTAGAGACATTTTTCAAATACGTTTAGGGATAAACGTTTCCTGTTTGGGTCGAATTCCTTCTGCACCAGTCCTTTGGATTCGTAGAAAGCAATGAGCATTGTCATGAATCTGATTAATGCGCTGAGCCTTTTTTGCTTTCACAGAATCTCCCAATTTCCTTTTACATTTTCCTGTTTTGTTTCCGGATTATAAGCAATATTTCTATGTCACAACCTATGCAATTTGTCATCAGAAAAGCAGGATTCATTTCGATGGCAGCAACCATGCCATTTGACAAGGCAATACAATACATATCCCCTCAGATTGCCATGATATTCTAAAACATCTACCAAGTTTACAAATGCTTGGGTGGTTAATATGTAAATTTGATTATATATTGATTAGTTTTTTATTTAATTTGCATAATATTACTGTTAATTTTGTAACTATTAATTTAATGTAGTTTCTACTTAAATGAAAACAAAATTGCTTAGTATTGAATCGCAATTTAATCAGGTAGTTTGTTCTCGAATATGATAGTGAATTTTGCGGGTAAAAATAAGAACTATTCTGTATTGGATTTATTAAATCGTAATACATGTTTTACTGCTGTTGATAATTGCTATATTGGGCATTATAAAACGTTAGATGTTTATTATTATTATTTGTTCAAAAATAGATGGTCCGAAATCTGTTACTTAATTTATTTGTCAATAGACTACTACACAGTAACAACTCACTAATCAATTGTTTTTCTTATTTTGTTGGCCAGTTTTGTTGTTTGTATATTACATACAGAACGTGATTGCAGCTGTACATCATATTTCCAGATCAACTGACAGAAGCTGTCGTCTAACGGAAATTAAATCTGAAATACCTTCTCCTTTTTCCTAAGTATTAATTCTACTCCTTTCCTTACCATTTTTCTATCTGTACTGAAATCAAGTGGGATGATTACATTACTTATTAGAACTTCTTACCATTGCTAGCTCTGCAATAATTGTTAGACCTTACTCGTGTATAAAAGTGAGACTTTGTCTTCGAATTCAGATCTCATCTTAATGTGCAAACCATGTAATCTAGAACATGATTCTAGATTTTACATACTAGCAGAAGGTTCGATGACGATACGTTATCTAGCATGCCTTTTGCCACATTTACGAAGAGAGTTCTGAAAACCTGCACACATCTGCTGCAAACAAAGATGAATTTCTAATTGGCCACTAAATGAGGAAGTGTCTGATAAATGCCGCGTCTGTTTTTTCAAGTTATTGATGATTATCAGTTACTGATGAGCAACGAGTCAATTATATGTTGACTATAGTTGAATATTCTTCTATATATGAGATTTATTATATATTTTGACTGTTTTTTTCAGTTCTTGAAGCTGCGAGCTTTAGAACCTGTTGTAGAACTTAGCTTTTTTTGAAAGGTTATTATTATTATTATCATCAGGGATATACATTATTTTTTAGGAATCTAAAATCTGGTATAATCATACCGTTTCAATATACAAGTGAAAATAGCTCTAAAGTATGCTGAAAAAAAAACAATACAACCTTATTTGAGTTATGACTCAATTTCACAACGGAAACCAAATCGAATTTTCATTTTCTACATTATAAGACAGAGCTGATTTTACTCTCTCATTTTCAATCAGAAACCTAATTGCATATTAGTGTATGATGAACATAGTATTGATGATCTCTTCAATCCATCAATCCCTACAATTTAACATTTAAAAGTATGTTAATTTATTACAAAGGTCTTATATTTAAATATCACACATTTCTACAAAATTCTCATTATATTTTCAAGAATGGATTAAAATATTTCATAAAAGCATTTCGTTTGAAAAGTTTAATGTGTTCTGAGACTAAAGAGAAATGGAATCGGAATTATAAGAAAAAACAATAGTTTTTAAATACTTTATTACTTAAGGCACATCCTTTCATATAATTCATCCGATTATACAATTTATAATTTTATTCTATACTAGACTAATATTTTTATTCATTTTAATTTAGAAAACAGAGCTTAAAATAATTTTCTCATCCGCTTAATTGTGGCAGAAAATTTAAGTTTAGAAAAGGACGAGTAGAATGGAGAACGTAAATCTTTCTGAATGAATATAAACGAAAATAATAATTTCCTTCATGTGTTTTTATGCAATAAATGAAATTATTCCTTTATGTATTTTATTTATTTATATGTTTATAAAATAAATGAAATTATTGCTTTCGTTTTTCAGACAAATTATACAGACAGAAAACACAGCGCATTAAATTTAATCCCATTTTTTGTGTTTTATGAAATCACAATCGTTTCATAAGTGCAACATGAAAATTAAAGATTTGTTAAGATAATTCAGCCTCTATATTTTACATTAAAAAAACTAATTTTAACCTGGAGATATGATACAAAGACAAATTTATACTTCTTGCACAATGTATTAAATATATGAAACTCATATTTGTGAGCAAGGCCAAATTTTTCTAAAACTTTCATTTTTTTAATTTTATGATTTTTATGTTGATAAAAAACAAATTCGAATAACATTATATCAATGAATGGATGTAAATTAGAATTACATACATTTGAAAGTTCGCTATAGTGTTTGTGGTTAAGTATATTGTTGAACATTGAACATAATGAAATGTACACAATTAAAAATTTTAAATTCAACTGATGATCTGAAGTGCTGAAATGGATATTTTTCAGATAAAATTTAAAAACAGTTTATATTCTAAAGTAGTAGTTTAGTTTATAGACTGTTTTTAAATTTTAGTAATAGTTTAGCTTTGAATTATTGATGTACAATGCATTATACTATAATCAGTCAATTAATTATATTAATTAATTAATTATTCA